ACTAAACCTTTGCCCTGGCAAGACTTTTTAAAAAACAATTATTTTGTGTGTGTGAATTAGGTGAGAGTTTACATTTCAGATTTTTTTAATTCAATAACTTATCTAACCTCTCAACAGCTTGCCCTTTTTTTCCTTCTTCCTCTTGTAAGATATAGTTCCCTTCACCCAAGTTAACACGGGTCTACCTTCTAGCCTTTTGCTTCCCCTCCCCTCCTTCCCCTGCCCCACCTTTGGTAACCATCAATGTCTGTTTCTTTTGGTGTGGAAATCTTTATCTTGATTTTTTTTTCTTTTATAAATGCTCTCAAATAATGTTTGTCACTTTGTGGCTCACCAACTGCACTCAATGTGATGCTATTGCCAGTGCTGCCGAGTATGCAGTTTTCCCTGCTAGACAAGCATAGAGCAACTCACTCTGAGTTTTGTTTCCTGCTCAGGGAAAAATGCCGCAGAAGCTGTTGAGATGTTGAACACAGCTTACAAGGACAGTGCTATGGGAAAAACTCAAGTGTACAAGTAGTTTTCTCATTTCAAAAAAGGTGAAATGTCAATTGACAAATCTTGTTCTGGACATCCGTCAACTGCCCAAATGAATGAAAATGTCCACTCATAGGGCATTTGGAGTTCATTCCACCAGTTCAGACTATTAATCAAGCTTTCTATTTAGAGGTTCTGAAAAGATAGCCTAACAGTATACTACAAAAAAGGTCTGATTTGTGGCAGACAGGGGACTGGCTTTGCCACCACGACAATGCACTTGTTCACACAGCCATCTCAGAGCACTAGTTCTTGGCAAAAAACAGCATGCCTCTCTTCCCCCACACACCTTACTCACCTGCCCTCCTTCTGTGTGACTTCTTTCTGTTTCTGCAAATGAAGAGGGACATGAAAGGCTAGCAATTTGATGAGCATAGCAGAGATTAAGAAAAAATGAGGGAGGTGCTGTCAGTCATCCAAACAGATGAATTTGAAAACTGAGTTTGAAGAATGGAATCAGGAAGAAAAAAAAGAATGGAATCGGAATCACTTATTTGACAAATGTATGAAGTGTAATGGACAGTACTTTGATGGTGATGTTTTTTTGTAAAAAAGTTTAAATACATAGTTTTGGGGGGGGGAATTCCAGGTTTTTTGTGGGGTACCCCATTGTATATCTGCTCATCCTTTCTTCCTTGTTTCTTTATGGTATATGGAGTGGCGGGGTTGCTGGGTCATATGGTACTTCTATTCTCAATTGTTTGAGGAAGCACCACACTGCTTTCCACAGCAATCATACAGTTTAACGGTTCCAGCAGTATTTGAGGTGCCAATTTTTGTGCACCCGCTCCAGCATTTGTGACTTTGTTTTTGTTTTTAACTTTGCTATTAATGCCAGTGTAAGGTGCTATCTCATCGTCGTTTTGATTTGCATCTCTTGAATGGCTAGTGATGGTGAACATGAAGTTTGTTGGTCACATGTATGTCTTCTTGAGTAAACTGCCGACTCATGTCCTCTGTCCATTTTATTTTTAGTAATCATTTTATTAGGGGCTCATACAACTCATCACAATCTGTACATACATCATTTGTGTCCAGCACATTAGAACATATGTTGACTTCATCATTCTCACAACACCTGCTTTCCACTTGAGCCCTTGGTGTGAGCTCCTCATTTTCCCCCCTCCCTCCCCACTCCCCGCTCCCCCTGAACACTTGATAATGTATTATTATTATTTAATTTGACTGTTTGCCTTTTTCTGGTCGAGGCTTTGCAGTTTTCTATATATTTTAGAGATTAGATCCTTGTCCAATGATATCATTGCCAATATTTTTTCCCTTTTCTGTAGATTCTTTATATGCTTTTGATGAAACAAATTTTTTTTATCATTTTATTGGGAGCTCTTACAGATATAACAATCCATAATTCCATTAGATCAAGCATAATTATACAATTTCTGCCACCATCAGTTGCAAAACATTTTCGTTCTTCTTGAAGTCTTTGATGTCAGCTCCCTTTTATCCCCTACCTCTGCCCTACCCCAGGAACCCTTATTATTATATTTCATTTTTATTTATTTAGCCGTATCTTACAGCATCCAATGTATCCATTCACTTACAATTGTTACGCATTTCCCTTGAGTGGGGTAATACAGTCATCATTGCTATCAGTTTCCCCTTCCTCCCATCTCTTCCCATACCCTTGGGGAATCATTATTTCCACTACTATTTCTGAATGGTTTATATATCTTGGATTTCATGCATCGAATGATTTTGGTGCCTTTAAGTGTCTTATTTTTAGGAGGGCCTAGTCATCTATTTTTGTCTTCTGCTTTGTGTTTTGTCTGATAGTGTGCTCATGTGGTGTATTAAGGCCCTTGAGTTTATGTTTTTTCATTGCTGAACTTTCTGGTTCTAAGGCTAACATTTAAGTCTTTAATTCATCTTCAGTTAGTTTTTAATATGGGGTAAGATACGGAAGTTTCATTCTTCTGTAAATGGAAACCCACTTTTGCCAGAACCATTTGTTGACGAACATCTCTCCCATTTAATGTATTTAGGCCCAAAGTAAAAAAAGAAAGAAAAAAGATGCTGTCTGTAGTTAAAGGGACTTATTTCTGGGTTCTCTATTCTGATCCATTGGTTTACATATCTCAGATTGTACCAGTAACAGGTGAAGTTATTTGGGGTTTTGTTTTTCATTTTAGGTGAAGCTATTTGTGATAGTTAGGTTTTCTGTGCCAGCATGGCTCCCGTAGGAACATGTGGGCAGAGTTTACCTGTCACAGCTTGATTGGAAGGCAACCAAGATAACTGGCTTTCCGAGGCAGGCCTCCTTCTTTCTCCCTGGTGAATGGGCCAGAGTGCTGCTGCCTGAGCTAGCCCTTTGCCTCAATCAGATGCTGCGCTACCTGTAGGCCAAGCCGGCCAGTGGATTGTGATGCTGTGCACGCATGGCTAGAGCTTGCGGCTCCCTTGAGACCAGTGTCACTATGCTACCCCACTACTGGCCTCTGCAGCTTCCTGTTGTAGCCGCCCCACCCGGCTGTGTCTGCTGCCCGCAGGATGGCTCTGCTGCGTCTTGCCCAAGGGCAGATTTTGCAGTCTGCTTCCTTGGCCTTGAACCAGCAGCAGGCGTGAGTTGTAGGACCTTCAGGAATATTAACTGTCCACGAGAATGAGTTGAACTGTGTCCTCTGTACTGATGTGTGGACTAATTAGCTGTTGTACTCCTTCTAACTACATAAACCTTCCCTTTTATACATATAATCTTAAGTGTCCTGGGGTTTTTTTTCTCTAGAGAATGCTGCCTAGCACAATTAATGTGTTAGGCTGGGTTGACTAGAGAAAAAGGAAATCCAGAGTCACTCATATATGTGTAAGAGAGTGCTTTAGATCAAGAGTTATATATCAAGCAAACATCCCAGCCCATTCCAGATCAAATCCGTAAGTCCAAAACTACTCCATACGTCCAATACTGGTCCATAAATCCCTCTTCAGACTCACGCAGCTGCATACAACGATGCAGAATGCAGGCACCATCACAGGTACCATCAGGCTGTGACCCCATTGACGAGCAAGACTCTACTCCTTCACTCTATTTATCAAGTTGACACAAGATTGTGTAACTACCGCACTGTTTCTTGACATATCCTCTATCTAATCTAACCCTTCCCCAAAGAATTCTGTATACTTCGATTTACACCATGTCAAAAGAGCAGCTGTGGCACCCTTGAGATTCAAACCGTGTGTCTTTTAAATGGAATTTGACTTTTGGCAGCAAACAAAAAAGTCTGAATGGGGCAAAATTAGGCTAGCAGGTGGATGGAGTAAGGATATCTGATGAACTCCTCACAAGACAGCTTTTGCTACCCTCGAAGAATGAGCAGGTGTCCTGACCTAACAGAAAAAATTCTTGAGTACAACTTTTCTAGCCATTTCCTCACCAATTTAGTTTCCAATCTTCTTAAAATTTCTTCCTAGTCAGCGTTCAGGATCACTCTGTGTCCTTCAAGAATATCTATTAGCCCTTTAGGATCCCCTCAAAAGGTACCATAACTTTCTGAGCTGACCTCTCTGCTTTGAACGTGCCCAGCAGATCCCCATGGAAGTCACTGTTTCCATTGGATCTCTATTGTCAAGGTTCCCAAACAAAAGCACGGCAATGTGTTACTGCAAGAACAGGCCTGAAACCATCCACTAGTCACAGACATGTTGAAATACATTTTACTTGGAATAAACCCATTGTGACTGAACTGGACCTCCTCCAGCAGCAGTACCCCATTACTTCCTCCCATATGTACACTCCCTCGTTCTGTCCTCTGAGAAGGCGTGGGAACAGCAACAGCTCAATAGCAGTGAGTGCACATAAATCGTGGTCTCTAAATATCATTCTCCAGGGCTCCTTGGAGAAACGGCTAATTCACCAGTTGGGCTAGGGAGAGTACCTGATGAATCGAGAACGCTTCCTGTCAAGAAGCAGCTTCATGTTCAGAAGCAATGTTGTAATGGTTGAAAGTTTTGTGTCAACTTGGCTCTGTCAGGATTCACACAGGTCTGGCAGCTAAGACCTAGTGATTCTTCCTAATAAGATCAACCACAGTGTCATCATCACTTCTGTAATGGTATCTGACATAAGCAGCCAATCAGCTGTAAGGAGATTAGGGTGGGATGTACACCCTTACTCACAGCATTGACCCAATCAATTGAAAGTTTCCTTGAGGATGTGGCCGCTTCCAATATTAGTGGTTTCTGTAGAAAAGCTAGCTTGCTTTTTGGTTCGACCTCCAATTCTTTGTACTTGTGCCTACCATCCTGCCTATCGATCATGGGGGTTGTCAGCAGCCTGTCATCTTACTTGCCAACCTTGAATTCATTGGCCTATAGAATGAAAGGCACTTAAGCTCAACGGGAAACCCCACCCCCACCTCCCACCCCCCACCCCCGTTTCCTTGTAGCTGACCTGGAAGGACCTAATGATCTAGGTGAAGCCAGTTTTCTTAAGAAAGGGTTGAAGTTCAAAGTCAGGCTTTCAATGGCTTTATTTTTTTCCATGATTGGAAAATACCCAATATCCTTGCAATATATTGAAGGATCTTGGTATTCAAATATAGAAAGAATTACAACAGTACTTTATAGGCTGATTGAAAGATGATTTCTGTTGACTCTGGTGACTCAAGTGATTATCTTTTACAGTCTGGTCAAGTCACTGAGGAAGCGCTTACGTGGTTTGGGGCACCTGGCTCAAGGCAGGCCTTTCTCTAACCATCCAGCCACGGGGTTCATCTAGTTTAGTGGGAAGGTTACCAACAGCTTCGCACCAGCCGGCGTCCTCACCTCCGATGATCTGCTCCAATAGCCTCTGTGATGCTGCAAAAACCCTGCTCCCTAGAACAAGAACGAAAGCCACTTCAGTCCACAGTGAAAGAGGGGCCTCTCCCACGGAAGTCCTCACCCCGTGTCTGCTTGGTCAGCTCTATGAAGAACCCCACCCCCACCCCCGCCACACAGCCCATTCCAAACATATCTTCACCTAGGTCTTCTAGAAGGGATTCAATTTTAAGTACTACTTCCTGACATCTAGTCAATGTGATTTCATCCATGGGAAGGCTGCCAGGACTCCTCAGGCCCCTCTCCCTCACACGAATGGACAACCCTCATTGTAAACACCAATGCTTTAGAAGCTAATCCCGAATTCCTTGACTCTGTTTGTCCTCTAGTCAAGGAACAACTGAGAATGATGGTCCCCTGAGTTTGGTGTGTGTCCCCCGAAGACCTTCGGCATGAGGATGAGCAGCACCTCCTTGAATTGAGTCATTGTGAGGCAGACCCACAGCACACCTCCTGTTCCAGGCCGCACACAACTCCACTCACCTCAAAAGGGCCTCCAGCTCCCTTTTGACCCTACCCACCACAGGTGGGCCATGGTAGGTGAGAGCTGTATACAGCTGCACCAGGGATGCCCCCGCCCGGATCTTCTCCAGTGCATCCTGCCCACTGCTGACACCGCCAACCCCGACGATGGGAACTCTGCCTGCAGAGACACACATGATCATTCTGTGAAGAAGGGCAGGTGATGGGAGAACCAGGAGCTCGCAGCCTCAACGCACCCCTACCCAAATCCGAAGCCACAGACACCAGAATCCTTGCCTTGGGTGAGCGCATACATCTCCCGAATGGTCTGCGTGGACAAATCTCGGAGGGGCTGCCCGCTCAGTCCTCCTGTTTCAGAACACAGGGCACACTGCAGGTTAGCGGGGCGACTCACGGTGGTATTCGTGACAATCAATCCATCGATGCCCAGCTGCAGAGTGAGACAGCAATGGATCACTTGCCTGCTGGCAGCAGAAGAGCCCTTCAATCTCAGTGGGGAGGGACTGGGAAGAGACTTCCCTGGGATCTGAGCTGACAGCCAGTGAGTTGCCCACACCTTCAGCGCCAGAAAGCCAGGCTATACCAGACCTCACTGCTGAGCCAATCTCTAAATGGAACTCCAGTAGAACAATAGCAGCCATTGATTGCTCACAATATTCCACTAAGTTAGAGCTTAATCCTCACAACAATCCACTTTATAGTGGCTTTTCCAAGTCCTTTAGGGTATAGATGGGGGATCCAGGATTTGAACCCAGGACTGCTGGGCTCCACAATCTTCATTTCTATGACTGTCCTATGACACAAAGATCTGATATTTATTTAAAAGCTGGGAAGCGTGTGATAGAGAATATTCCAGTTCCAAATGAGATTGGCCAAGGATACGATCACGTTTTAATGTCCTTGCTGGATAAAGATGGGGAAAGAGAGGAGAGATATGAGGGAAAGACTCACTGACACTCACTCAGTGTTGCTGTTGCGTTCTATGATCCGTTATGCCGTAACAGACACCAAACCAGTGCTCAGGACCCAGATAGGACAGTTCTCAGGACCACAGCTGGCCAAATATTATACAGGCCCCACTTCGCACCTCTCTCACCACGTTGGCGATGTCCGCCTTGTCCTGGGCCGTGAGGTCAGGGGCGATCTTCACCAGCACAGCTGGCTTGTGGGCTCCCTTCAAGGCATCCCTCTCTTGCAGCACCTACAGCAACACAGCCAGAGTGGGAACCTGCCAACCGCACTTGCCGGTGCAGCTACAGGTCACTGTGTCCACACAAGCCGTCAACTAAGGCACGAAGGGTGTCTCCTTTGCCAGAAACAACACCCTCAGCTATGGTGTGGTTCGATTCTTTGGACCTGGGAAGTCAGTCCCTTAAAGATGTAGCTGGCAGAGGCCTAATGAGATTTATGTAGACTTTGTTTCTAAAGGAGATGACACAAAGGACCATCACAAGTACTGTGTGATGCAAAGTCATTCTGCCCATTCTTTCATTGCCTGAGCCAGGTGATACAGACACAGCAGTCAATGGGAGGGCGTGCACCCTGCTCTCGCGGGAATTCAATGGTTTAACCAATAACTTGACAATTAACTGAGTGTAATCAGTGTTGTAACAAGGGATTAGAGGATGCTCTATGAAAGGCACAGTAAGGGGTCCTAAGGGGTCCAGATATTAAAGTAGGTTCTCCAGAGTGATGCTGAAGCTTGGCCTTGCCAGGAGAACGAACAAATCTATAGGACTTGTGGTGGAGTGGGGCATGGAGCATCGATGTAATTGCCTACCTTGGTCAGCAGGTGGCGCAGCTCCACCTTTCCCTGAAGGCTCCGCAGCCCTGCAGTGTTGGGACTGGACACGTTCACTACCAGGTAGTCAGCCAAGGGGCCCAGGACTCGCACGCCCTCTGCATAATCTGCAGCAGCGTCTGCTGAGGTCTTATTCTTCCCCAGGTTTATTCCCAGGAGCCGGCCATCTATAAAGATGTTGAGACCATACTTGACTGAGCAGCCCACATGTCGAACATCACAGGCCTCTGACCCCACTTCTGAACTTTCCTACTTCCGCGGGCAAACGTGTTGAACTGCTGCCCGGTGCTGCTCCCTCCTGGTCGATAAACGGCTGGCCATCTTTGTACAACTATCTTTCAGCAGCACCTATCCGCATGGCTTACCGCATTTTGCCCTTTAAATATTTTAAATATGAGGCACAGGGATTGAGTACAAATTTTTTTTTTTTTTTAAGATAGGACTTATGAAGGTAAAGCAACTGGGACGTAGAAAGAAATCAAGGTCTATCAGAAGGATCAGCTATTTACCCTGAAGAGAAGCTTGAGTCAAGTGACTGTGAAGAAAAAGCAAAATTAAAGAAAATGTGTGATATATTGGAATTAATCCAAATGATCATACCTAAGAGGCTGAGATATGATTATCTTATCATTTATAATTTTAATTACCTGAGAGGGGACTTCTCCTTGTAACTAGGGTGACTTCAAACTCCTGTTGCTTAGGCATAATTATTAATGTCACTTTTTGCTCCCCAAAAGAGCATAACTTGCACAGTAATTGAGATGATCTACATCTTACTTTTAAAAATCAAAGGGACTTATCACTTGACTTGTATTTTGGATTTCCGGGAAAAAATCTTTTCAGAAACATGCGATGTGTGACAGCAAAGGGCTGTCTGTACTTTTCTTCTCAAAAGGTATGATCCTATCTGCAAGGGCCAATAGTACAGGCTCTTTTTTATCCATCTGTTGGTTGGGAACAGACCTGGAACACCAAGTGAGCTCACAAAATCTGTGTCAGGTCAGGCAGGGTCATGCAACAACATCTCTATTGTTAGCTATCTGCCCATAGCCTCGACGTAGTCGCCATTTTTATCATTAGCTTGAAAGTAAGAAAGATTTGTGTCGCTGTTTTCTTGGTGGGAAGTGGGGGAGTTCACCCCAATGAGACAAAAGCCTTATCCAGCAAAGGCCCCTCGGTGGTGCACAGTGTTTGCAATCAGCCGCTGCAAAAGGATGGCAGTGAGAGCCCGCACTGGCGCCCTTCCAGGTTTCCATGAAGATCGTGGCCAGAAAACCACGAGTCAGAAGCAACTTGCAGCAACAGGCTCGGTTTGTAGGTTGTTTTCTGTTCCGTTTTTTTTTTCTTTTTTTCCGTTTTGTTTTTCATACAGTCAAGTTCTCCAAGCTTCCCGGGTCTAGTGAGCACCCATCAAAGCAAGCTCATTTGTAAGTTTTAATTCTTTTCCACGCAGTATGGGGCATCAGCATTGCAGAAGGCAGCCTCTGAACTCAGGTCTGAAAGGGTAACTCCCAAATGTCAACAGCTGTTCCCCCTGCATGGGGAAAAGGATGAATGGTTTGTATTTCCTTAAAGGAAACTTTAAAATGTGATTCATGTACTTCTATGGCCAAAAGCTAGCCACGTTGCTTTTCTGGCTTCTAAGTTTTCCCAGTTGTGACCTAACTTCAAAACAAGGCAAAACAGACTGAGCCTTCATTAAGGTTTTAGGTATCCATGGCTAGCATAGCCAAAACATCACAAGTCAGTAACTTTCAGAAACTGGGATTTAGTTTCTCACAGTGTAAGAGGCTCCGGGTTGCTGGCTCTAGGGGAAGGTTCTCTCTTGGCGGGGCGAAGACCTTGTTTCTTTGACTTTCTCCTCCTGGAAAATCTTCATGGGACTTGGCATCTTCTCCCCTCCGCCCCCCCCCCCCCCCCCCCCCCCCCCCCCATCTCTGCTTGCCAGCTTGCTTGTATTTCAAGAGACTGGTTTAAAAGAAATCCTGACAGATTATAGCCTACTGCTATCCAGTCGATTCCAACTCAGAGGGACCCTGGGTAGTTTCTGAGATTAAATCTTATGGGAATGGAACAGCCTCATTTTCCTCTTGCAGGGCAGCTGGTGGATTTGAATCGCCACCCTTTTGCAGTGAGCACTCCAATACCTAACTCACAGTGACACCAGGGCTAAAATGTACAACCCAAGAGGAGGACAAAAGAATTTAATCCATAACAATTAAACCAGGAAATTCCATCAGAATCTTTTTTTTTCCTATCAAAATCTTAAAGAGTTTGTTAGAGGAGAGGGTCACTGAGTTCCTTAGTGCTTTTCCCCCCCATACTGCTCAACCAAGGAGCCCTGGTGATGTAGTGGTTACACACTGGGCTGTGATCCACAAGTTGAGCAGTTCAAAACCACTAGCCACGCTGCAGGAGAAAGAGGAGGCATCCTACTCGCATAAAGAATTATAGTCTTAAAAAAAAAAAAAAAAGAATTATAGTCTTAGAAACTCACAGAGGCATTTCTACCCTGTCCTACAGGGTCACTATGTGAGCATCGAGTTTGGTTTTGGTTTTATTGCGCAATCATGTGTACTCACTAGTCATGTCCCTGATGTTTATCCCAATAATCAAAGCCCCTCTAACACAACTCCGTTTTACCTTCTGTGAGCTTGGTCTGCTTGTGCTGTCTGGCCCGTAACCTGTGCTCCACCACTGAGACTCCGTGGCTGTTAAATCCGTATCTATGAGGAAGGGGACAAGGTTAGAACCTGTCAACAGAAGGCTAAGAATTCAGGAAGATAGTTCATGGCTACCTATCCCTCCATTCCATTTCTTCCTGATCCCCATCTATTAAAATCTTCCATGCTTCATGACCCCATGTGAAAGATCAAATGCTCCCTTCTCCTCCTCCTAAAGCCCTTCCAGCCCCAAGTGCTCCCTCACTCCCCTGGGTATCCATGCAGTGACTGTGTACCTACTTTCTCCTGCCTCTGGATTTCCATACATGCTGAGGTTTCCCCACGAGGCGGCAATATTCTTAAAGGCAAGGCCCCTGTCTTCTCTCTCTGTCACCTTGTTACAAGAGCTCCACGAGACACAAGCCTCTTCTCTTCCGTTCTGTTGGCAAACCAAATGGTGGCCATCTTGCCAATACAAATGAAGAGCTAGAGCAATTGACCCAGAGCTTTGCCATTGCTGTGCTGTCCGGTTATCCCTGGAACCGCCGACCTGGCCTGCACCGTGAAGCCACCTTTAGTTAGGTTTTGGTTGCTTGCAGCCCAAAGCAGACTAACAGATACAATGGAGCATGGCGTTGTTGATGTAATGAAAAAAGTGAATACATGTTCATCCCAGTTCATTCATCCATAGGTTCAAAGGGCATTCACTATTACTGAGCACCCACTGTGTACCAGGAACCAGGCAGAGCATGGAGGCTGAACACAGGAGGTACTCAAGAGCACAGGCCCTCCCCAACTCAGGCCACTTCCCCTCTATTGGGAACTGCCAAGCATCCCTCCCTCGGTGCCTACAGTGATTGTGGCAGCCAAAAACGCAAACAAATACATATTGCTTGGCCAATGTTAAAGATATTGATCTACCTGCAAAGCAACGGGTAGATCAATAACCCGAACTCTAATGCCTAAAGATTTCCCCGAAGCAAGCACAATAAAGTGACAAGTGCAGCCAAACAGACTTGCACTAGGTCAGTTTCCCAAAAGGCTATTAATGGCTCCAAGGATGCCTAACGAGACCCCCACCCCAAGGAGGTTCTTCTCAACTGTGCTACAAAAATCAGAATGTCTTCGCTTCCTGGAATTGCTGCCGCTAAAATAAAGCCCAAGGATCACCCAGAGAAAGACTGGGCAGAGTTCTCCTTGCTCAAGGCCTTGACTTGAGCATGAATTCCCTATTGAATAAAACCAGACAGGTGAGGCTCTGCTGTCTAATATGAACGCTGCTGAGCACTTGCACTGCAGTGAGCCTGCAAGGTAAAGTCACAGTGGGATCCACAGCAAAGGCATCACGTTGATGTTGATGACCCAGGAGCCCTGGTGGCGTGGAGGTTACGAGTTGGGCTACTCATTGCAAGGTCAGCAGTTGGAAACCATCTGCTACTTTTCTGGAGAAAGGCGGGGCTTTCGACTTCCATGACGAGGTACAGTCTTGGAAAAACACAGGGGCAGTTTGACCTTTTCCGATGGGGTCACTACGTGGGCTGATTCAACTTCATTCCCAGGATTCCTTGCTAACTTTATCAAGGGGCTACTAGAAAAATTATGACCCCCAGGGAGGTTGGACAGTGGTAGGCAAGGGCACTCGGGGAGGAGGTCCATGCTCTGGAGTCAAAGCAGCCCCGGGTCTACCCAGGCTTCTGCCTTACTATCTCTCTGACTGTAGCTACGCTTTCGCTCTTAGCAGGTTTACCTAGTAAATGGAAGTAACAGTCAGCTTTCCAGGATTGGTGGGAAAAGGTAGGCTGGCCCACAGCATAGGCCCAACAGGACTCCTGAGCATTTCATAGAACTATGCACCTTGTGTGGCAGAGGTAAAAGGCAGTTACTTAGAGACGTTGCCCGACTGCTCACCTACCTGTTGATGATGGCTTGGTCCTTGGGGAGGCGGAAGACTCTGGGCCTGGGGTTTCCTTCCTGAGGATCTGGGGTAACGCTTCCTATCTCAACAAAGCCAAAGCCCATCTTAAAAAGTCCATCCACAGCTTCCCCATGCTTGTCAAATCCTGCAGCAATTCCCACTGGGTTCCGGAATTTACGGCCCAAGACTTTCACTTCCTAGAACGACGACAAAATCAAAGATACAAAAGGCTATTACCAATGTTTCTCTACGTGGGGTCCCTATACTTCGGGATTAACTGGCGAGTCCAACACCAGACAGCAGACCTTGAGCCTGTGGGGAGATGGGCACGAGGAAGAGCTCCCCAGGTGGTTCCGCTGTTGCTTGAGCCTGAGAACCTTCGGGCTCTCACTATGACTGCTGTCAAGACTGGGACGAAAAAAACGCTCAAGGTTTCCATCGCCGGCTGAACAGGCGGTGGGCATTGCCTTTTCCAACTGTGGTTAGGACTCTGTACCGTTTAATCTACTTGGTGGGAGAGAGTGGCTAGTTGGCGTCTGACCCCCAATAGTGAAACTGAAAACCCAGGGAGTGCCAAGCAGCAAAACCCTTTCTTGTATCCGCTTAATAAGCCAGCTCCAAATAGGACCCTCCTCATCCAGCCAGGCTGATCAGAAGTTCTGGCAAGGTCCCTCCTCAATCCCCACAGGCATGGGTGACACGTTCTCAGCTGGGATCCAGAACCAGCCCGTGGCCGGAGACAGGCTCTTCCCGGTCAGCTGGGGGACAAATTCACTTGTTCTCTAGAATGAGCAGATCTAAGGCCTGGTTATCATCAGGTCTAGCCTGACCCCTAAGGAATTAAGGATTTCTGCCCTGAGGAAGCCAACAAATCTAGGAGCCATTCTTAAAATGTGGGAAAGAAATCAAGAGGTGTCACGAGGCCACTGACTGCCAAAAGATTTCATCATGGTGTGCTAACGTGGCCAAGAAAACTTTTGAGAGGATTAGCAGGTGTTTCCAGTGATGGGTACTAACTGGAAGACTAACTCAACTCATAAAATGAAGTTGATTCTGTGTCACTATGTGATCCTGGAAGAGGAAGTAGAAGGAACAGTCACTCCAAGAAGGGAGAACAATAAAAGTAAAGACGTGAAGGTGATAATGGACACAGCATCTCAGAGGCTCAGTGAGGCAGGAAGCATGGCTGGTCTAGAGAGCCTTCCTTATGGACAGGGGTTCCCCAGCGCTGGCTTGTACCAGAGTCCTCTGAGACACGGTCAAATGACACAGCCTGGACATGTGTGGTCCAAGAGCCCCCAGGTGACTCCAACCTGCACCAGAGAGAGACACGAATTTAAGGGGAATGATGGAGGAAGGTAGCTTGCGGTGAGATTTGGAAGTCTCAACCATTGTGAGTGTCCCAGAGAAGAAAACTGAGATACCTGAGATCTCAGTGACACAGAACTATACCTAAGGGCATGGCTGCTAGAGCCAGGTGCATGGGTTTGAGCCCTGGCGCTGCTACTTTCAAGGTGCACAACTTTGGACAAGTGACTTGACTACTCTGTGCCTCGATTTCCTAATCTACAGATGGGATGAGGCAGTAGATCCTCTCATAGTTGTGAGGACTAAATCAGAACATGGCATAACACAGTAAACTCCATATAAGAGTTAGGTATAATAAAAATTACTATTATTATCACTGCAAATTGAACTCCAAATGCCACTGCTAACTTGGGCGCTAGCTTTGAAAAGGAACACCCCCAGCTGAATACACTAGAAGAAGTCATGCATCTTGTACAAAACTCCCAACAGCAAACTCACTGCCATGAGCAATTCCAACCCACAGCAACTCTAGCGGACAGGGTAGAGTTGCCCCTGTGAGTTTCCGAGACTGTAACTTTTTACGGAGTAGAAAGCCTCATCTTTCTCCCGAGGAGTGGCTGGGGGTCTTA